CGTGGTATATGCACACTCACACAGTCCCGGAAGGACGCGAAGAGGTAGACTGGTGGCAGTAGCCCTTCTCTGTGTGTGTGTGTTGGGCAGGTCAGGTCTGAAAGCTTGTGTTATGCCAACATCAGCAAACCATGGCGCTCGCAGCCTGGTATGCGGTGGCAGTTCCCTAACACCTGGTTCCCTGCCGATAGATGCACTTGCGCTCCCGCTGGGTATATAGGTGGTGGGAATGGCTGCCCAGTCAGCATTCTCATCCTGACCCCTGTTGGGTTGTTGTCGTTGGTCAAAAACCTGGTCATTTGCTGTATCGACCAGGGGATGTGGAGTAGGCCGCCAAGGTGTCGGCCTGATCGTGTCATCCACCTGCGCCCTCCTCCGCCTCAGATCTTCTTGACTGTGTCTTGACACCGGGTCCAGGTGGGAAGTGGGGAAGCGAGAGTGCGACAGATGCTGAGCAGGTCTACATTCACTATAAAGTAATTCCCGCACAAGCAACCGTCACTGCCTTACCTTGTTGTGGAGTACACGGTGGACATCGTCGAAATCAACGCTCGAACTGTGTTGGGATGTGCCTCCCAAACGGGCAATGTGGTAGATGCGCTGGACCAGCACGGGGGTCAAATATGATTCTGGCAGACGTTATCGAAATGCGCACCATAACAAAGGCCAACATCTCGGGGTGCGGTTGTAAACCCAGTTGCCGGCAGCCGTCGCGTACACCAGGATGCCTACCGCGCTCCCCCCCCCCATTGTTGTTGTTGTCGTTGATCAAAAACTTGACCATTTTGCTGTGTGGACCAAGGGATGTGGAGTAGAGCGTCAAGGTGCTGGCTCGATCGCGCCATCCACCTGCGTCCTCCACCGTCTCCGGTTTTTTGATTTTGTCTCGACAGATGGAGGAGGAGAGAGTGTGGTGGATGATGTGCAAGTCTGCTATCTCTGTAGACTATTTCACGCGTAGGTCACCTGCCCTGCTCCACCTTGCTGTGGAGCACACGGTGGACATCGTCGTACTCGACTGTTAAACTGTCGTGTGTCGGCAGCTGCTGTTGCCTGTCTCCATGTGTGCATGTGTTCGCGCTGGTGCTGCTGTGTGTATGAACACGCACAGGTAGTATATCAAGCAGTAGATTGCAAACTATTAAATAAAGCCGCTCCCGTTTATCAAACAGCAGTCTTATAAGCAAAGTGTTGAACTATCTTGACAGACGGCGATCAGACAGAGTGTACACACTTTTGAGTCATCTGCAAAGGGTAATTGAGGGAAGGGTACTCGTAGATAGATAGTTAGCCCTAAACACAAGAGCTATCCTCGCTAATTACTCGATAAGAACTACCTATGCAAACTGTTCCTCCGTTTTGTCGCCAGCCAAACTCTGAACTCTCCACTGTGACTAGAAGGTAAAGAAGTCTAACAAAACATTGCAAGCATTAAAATTATGGACGTACACGATGCGATAGTATCCTCTGAATCCGTCTCTGTCCACTTGCATCCTCTAAATAATTGCCAAGAGAGCCGCCGTCCGTTGAATAAAACACATAAGGAAGCAGACTGATGATTTCCACCTTAGCAGTGGATGAGTTTGCATGACTTCTTGCTAGGTGTGCGCTCGGCAGTCAAAACTGCAAACGCTTTCCAGGAACACCTGCGAGTCACTCAGTTGTCGGCACCATCGTCGATGTCGTACTGGAGCTCAAAATTCGCAACTTTGTCTTTAATAAACAGGTTTGTAGATGGAAATCGCGGTGGAAACTCCTAATATCAAACGTCAGTAATCAAGTAAACACTATCAGGCACAAGTTCAGTGATGCTTCGCACAAATCTGCTATACAGTGGAGTAGGAAATAAAAGAACAAAACCACCTTCGGAAGTTCCTGATGTCGAAATTTTAAAATGAACTTATAAGACCGGTGTCGTCTACAAAGCAACAAAAAACGCAAAATTCCTTTATGTCCGGAGCAATCACGTGTTGGCATAAACAAATTTCAGTCCAGACACTGGTCCGTCGAAATGACATGCTTCAAAACAGAGGATAGGTAGGTGAGAGGGAAGAGGCGGAAGCATCTTCTCTCCAGTGCGCCCCCCTACTGTGACCTCTGTGCTATCTTCACTCGTTTGGATCTGAACGGCTTCCCCTCTTGTTGTGTGAAAACCTGGTGAGCTATGCTCCGACCAAGCGTGTTGTACGCGTAGTCGAGCTGTTTAGCTCTGTCAGTCACTGCGTGCGATCTTTTTCCCCCTCTTCTCTACTCTGCCCTGGCACCTGATCCAGGTGAATGGGAGGTAGGAAGTGTGATAGAGGCTGCGCAAGTCTGCATCATTACAATGAACTAATTCATTCACAAGGCACTATTCCTGCGCCCAATCTGCTGCGGGGTACACAGAGGGCATCGTCCAAATGGACTGTTGAGCAGCCACACCGAATATAGAAGAACACCGAGGGTGCTCGGAAATGTAAACTGAAACAATTTCTACGCTGATCCTTACCAGGAACCTCCCAGAAACCCAAAACCCCTGTCTAATTTCAATCTACGCCGTCCAAAAACATTTGTCTGTGGCAACGCTTCGTTGCCTACTTATGCAGTCATTTGCAGGGTCATTTGAGAACTATCACGTAGAGCGTTTTGAATGTCCTACTAAATATTAGGAAAGGATTAAAAACATCTTACAGGTGCATAAACTAGCGCTAAGGTGCGTTGAGGGTGTCTGCACTCATAACTCACTTGAAATGTGACCCTTAAGTGGTCTTCCAAAAAATATACTTATTTTACACACCAAAAGAAGAGCGTTTTCTAAACCTTTCCAATGAATATGCGAAAAGTCACCTTTCCCAAACTAACTACTTTGCAGATTGGATCTTTTCAGAAGGAATTTTAGTGTATTCACAAATATCAGCTTGAATACCCCCATCTACAATCCCTGTGGTCATGAGACCTTGGACTACTCCTTCGCATGGCAGATAAAATGAGGGCACTAGATCTTGATTTTTTAACTGTCGAAACTACATATCTGATCACATGGATCTAGGTAAACAATAAATCAGAACGTCCGGAGAGCATAAGGATCTCTTCACGGCGCGTTAAATGTTGTATGATCTTTATCATACTGACAGCACAGGTATTGGCTAGCTTTCAGCAGGTGCCTGTGCTGTCGGTATGATAAAAAACTACACGACTGGCTGTCTCTTGACTGTTTATGAGTATCACGTGGTTGTCCCACAGAAGCTGATGAATTGCAGCTCAAATATTCATATCAACTTTCGGACTGGTCCTATAAGGCTTTATTCTGGCTGGTTTTCTTTAAGTTGGTGCATTGATTTTTGGGAATACTTAAAAGCTGAAGCCGTTTGATGTTTTGTGGTTGCAATCAAACGCATGAATAGTAATCCAAGAGGGCACAAGTATTTGCTTTAAGGAAGTGACCCGAAGAAGAAGGATGCAGAAGCTTTGATGCGCAAATTACCTTTGCGTCCACGTGACTTGGAATTCTTTTTATGCTCCACCGTCAACTGAAAACCGGCCACATGTTACTGTTAAAGGATAATGGGTTGCCGCAGCATGTAACCGTATTCTAGCGTACGTGCGTAGATTGAACAAGCCTGCGTTCGCGGAGTTAGCCAATCGTAATTCGGTCGGACGGTTCACGTGCTCATCATCCAGATACCAGCAGACGTTGACCCCGCCGAAATCAAAAAGAACGCTTTGACGTCATCGGAAGACGGCATCCCCCCAAGCTAAAGTACCATGGACGGCAGTTTGTCTAGAAATCTACCCGGACTCTGGTTCTGAAGCTCGGGATTAGATCTATGAAATGCGAACAGGCGCACCTTTCACACAGGGTAGCCTGTATAATTAGAATGACGCAATAAGAAGATGTAGATAGTTTTTTAAGCGCAGATGTTTAGCGCCAGTGAAGCTAATATATCGTCCTTCTTGCGGAAGACAACTTTTTGGGGAAGATGACAACACTCATATCTGGTGTTTAATTACTTTTAAAACTCTTCGAAAATAAATTAAATACCCTTCTTACTTTCTCAGTGAAATCGTCCCAAAACCGTAAACTTCACAGCATACGTGTTTTTGGTGCCCAGATGCCTGCGATGCGAGCTGAGAAGTAGTGAAAACACCTTTAATGCCTAGTGTACACATAAAGCTGCCTAAAAGAAGTCGTACTTACAACCCATCTTTGTCTGAGTCGTGAAAATCACCCCGGCTATTAAAAAATCTAACCAAAAACAACAGATCAAACAATGCTAATTTTTGCAGGTTAATCTATTAAAATCGGCCTGTCCGTCTTTTGGCATTCTTATCCAGGTTTTTGGTAATCTTGCGACTTTATGCCGACCGTTGTCAGCGGTCGCTGATACGCACATTATAGATTTTCGCCAGTACACAGTAAGTAGAAGGAAAGGTCAATTTTTGGTCGGAAGAATTGCATGGTATTTGCTTCCATTCTTTAAAAATCGGTAATACGACATTTCCGTCATATGAACTAACTGATTCAATTGAAACAGCTATTTGGTAAATGCTTGTAATGAGTTGGTTAAAGGTTTAAGATGTAACAATATTAGAAAGGTACGAATGTCATGCGCTGCCAAGGATTTTCTTGCGATTAATGGAATGAACTGTTCACACCATCGTCATACTTAAGAGATGCATATTGACCCATTCGGCACTTAGTTTAAATAACCGCTTGCCCATCTCCTGCAGCTGGCTTTGTTCGGAGAAGCGGGTCTCGCTGAGTGCAGCGATGTCGACGGCCCTGGTTGTCGTCGGTCAAGCACGTCGCCAACATCAAGACTGGTTCGATGACAATGACGCCGTTTTCAGCAACCTACTCGCCGGGAAAATCATCAGCCAAAAACATACGTCAACCACCCCAACGACGACAACATAGCAGCCTTCTGACGTAGTCGCTGCCTTGTGCAACAGCGGCTGCAGGAGATCCGGGACGCCTGGATGGTTCAGTAGGCGATCCAAGGGTGTGCCGACCGCAACGAATGGAAGAACTTCTTCTCAGCGTTCAAGGCTGTCTGCGGTCCCCCAGCCAGAGCAACAACTCCTCTGTTCAGCGCCGAAGGCAGTATACTACTCATCGAGAGGACAAAATTCTACAGCGATGGGCCGAACACTTCAGAGGCGTCCTCAAACGTCCCTCCACCATCTCCGACGCTGCCGTCGCCCGTCTGCCTCAAGTGGAGACCAACGCCGACCTCGACCTCCCGTCCTCTCTCCATGAAACTATCAGGGCCGTGCAACAGTTCTCCACCGGAAAAGCTCCGGATCGAACGCGATCCCTATTGAGATCTACAAACACAGTGGCCCCCAACTCATGGATCATCTGATGGCGCCCGTCCAGGAGATGCGACGTCAGGGGAAGTCCCGCAGGATTTCAAGGACGCCACAACTATCCATCTATACAAGCTGAAAGGTAGTCGCCAGCTCTGAGACAATCAACATGGCATCTCCCCGCTGAAAATCGCCGGGAAGATCCTCGCTCGCGTCCTTCTCAATCGCCTGAACAACAAAGCTGAAATGGCAGGACCGGATCTCCGACACGGATGTACTAGAGCGGACGGGAATCCGACCTGGAGGAGTAAAATAAAGCAGGCGTAGCGATCGGCGAAGCCAACGGCATCACCGCCGCCAAAGCCAAACGCGAGGCTCGCAAATCTAAACTGCGCCCAACCAGCAACGTCAACGCCCAACCACCCCCGACCTGCCCACACTGCCAGCGGACGTTCTGGACACCAAT